TAAGATTTAAAATTGATTCCTATAGTAAATTTTATTAGTGTTGTCAAAAGTTTAAAAAATTATATCATTAAATTAATGTTCTCTATTTTTAGTTATGAAATAAGATAAAATTTTCATATTTAAATTTAAAATATTTAATTTTTAATAATATCTTATGACATTTTGATATATTTTGTATTAAGGTAGGCTTATTATTATGATACATATCATTAATTTCATATAATATATTTCATTCTTCAATATAATTAAATTATTAGACAAATATAAATAAACTATAAATATTAGTAATAATTTTTTTGTTACGTCTAATTTAATTGTATAATTTATTAATTTAAATATACTAAAAAAATAATATATAATACATGAAATTTAATATATTTCATTTAATTTAAAATGAATGAGAATATTTTGACAATGCCTTTTTCTTCCATTTTAATTTTTAATAGATTATAAGAGATTTATAAAAATAATTCTTAAATAAATAATATATGAAGCATTGGAGTGAGAGCAAGCGTTCTCAGACCAATTGCCGCGAGAGAGAGAGAGAGAGGAGAGGGAAGAGGTTGTCCTGGTGATGCTCAAGAGGAACAGGGGCTGTGGCGATCGGGGAAGAGCGGTGGCGCTTTGATTCTTTGATTACTGTGATGGAGAGGGACTTTCTGGGCATGGGTGGAGCTGATTCCGGTGCCAAAGATAGCAGCGGCGGACGCCTGGACTCAGGTTCGTTTTCACCTCCGAATTCTAAGCAAATCTCAACTATAAAGCTTTTTTTTTCCATTTTCTTTTTGGTGATTTCAGCTTCGGATTTGCCTTCTCTTTGTTTATGATATAATTTATGCTACTCTTTCTGTAAATTGGTTTTAATGTCCTACCTTGGAGTAACCCTCTTTCTTGTTCTGTAGACACTCGCAGTCATGTTCTTACTATTTTCATTGATTATTTTTTTTATTGTGAGTTTTATTGATTCAGAACCAGTTGATGTAGCTCCTCTTAGTCATTGTGGTTTTCTTCTGTACTGAATCGTTACGCTATACTGGATCTATATTGTGTATGGCTTTACTCTATTGAATGACTTTGTGTCATTCTTTGATTCGAGGATTATATTTAGTTTTCAAACTTTCATTTTTTTTTTGCTTGGTAATTGGGTGTTCTTTACTTATTTTTGTTAAAATATAGTAAATTTTCCACATATTCCCTTTGTTGAAGATTATATGTTATTTAGGTTTCTGAAGGCGTATCAAATGCTTACATGCTATTTAATTAAGGAAAAAAAATTGTGTCAGCAGCTTCTGACTGAAATTCTGTCGGGAGCTCCTTAATTAAGTGGCACTTGATTAAGTACTTTTTGATCAGGTTTTGTCAGAGCTCCTTACACAGTTTTTTAACTTCAATTAATGCTAAATTTTATGCAGTTTACTTTGACCTAGTGATTGGGTGCTTTGGCTCCTACCCGAGATCTTGGATTCGAGGCCTAACATTTATATGTTTGAGCATGAGTTCTTGATTAAATTCACTGAAAATTTTCCAAAAAAATGCTAAATTTGAATAATATAACTTTTTTATACCACTTAAGTTAATTTAGAGCAATTTCTTGCTCTAGTAAATTGATGGTCGAGCATCTCAAAACCAATTTAATTCTTCTATTAATGTGTTCTTTTGCTATTGAAATGGCAGGTTTCTCAGTTTTGCAGGGGCCCTTGTCTTATAAGGCATCTTCTATGCAGCAATTCAAGCAATTTAAGACTGAGCAAGTGGAAAAGCCCAAAAATGCCTTGTTTGATCTGATTTCAACCAATGCATTTCACCGTATTGGCGCCTTTGCTGCTAATTCAAAAGCTTGTGCTGTGCAAGCACCTCAGGTTTGAACATATCTTGGGATGTTGGTGAGCTCTGATAGGTATTCTAAGCTGAATTTTAACTATAGTTTTTCTTCTTGGATCATTTTAGAAATCCCTGGCCATGGATAGGCACAATGTTCAGCAATTTGTCATCCATAATTACCAGAACCAAGACATAGATAACTACCGTGCTTCAGCTCAACTCGTTCCAGGTTCTCTGACTTCCATGCCCATTGGCATGACCAGTCCTTTGTTTAAGATTTATAGCTCCTCCAATGTCCCTAATCTCACTGTCACTGCGGTAAAGCCGCAACCTTTTCGATCAGTGGTTGCAAGTAGCAACTCTTTATTTGGAGAAGGCGTTGGATCCTTCACTCCAAGGTAGATACTTTGGTTCTATTTAGTTTGAAGGAATTGGGAGAGTTGAAATGAGAAGGAAATGGAAAAGAAAATGGTTTAAGTAATTGAATTGAAATTAGTTGTAACCCGCTTGTTTGGCTTCTAGAAAATGAAAGGAAAATTGGTTTGGTTTGAAGGAATAAGCAATAACTTGAAGAGTAAACACACTCTTAACGTTATTCATACTTTAGTTTTTGATGGGTTGGTTTCGTTTGGGACAACTTTTTTATTGCTTTATAAAATAGAGTTTTAGTACAATTTAAAAAAAAATTGTACTAAAATTTTGTTTTATAAAACAGTAGGAAAGTTGTCCCAAACGAAGCCTTAGTTTGTTGAAGACTCAATTTCTTATGAATTGCACAGAGATCAAACAGTTAAAAAATGTCATTTTAAGGTCAATTCTATTTGCTTTCTGCTTAATCCTCTATACCAGTCAAAGCCTTTATGTAGGGTTACTCAACATTCCTGAAACCAGTATTGCGTAATTCTATATAGTCTAAAGTTTTAAAGTAAATTCCTTTCTATATGTAGGAATGTTGTGAAAACTACTCCAACCACTGCACAACTCACAATATTTTATGCGGGTTCAGTGAACGTATATGATGATGTCCCTTGGGATAAGGTAGTATTCTTATCTTATCTTATCTTGATATTTTAATAATGAATGTTTAGATACACAAGGCATTACTACTTTTAGCTTTTGTTTTTCATCAGGCCCAAGATGTTATGCTTAAGGCAAGTGAAGGGTCCAAAGCAACTACAAATGCTCTTCCCCGTTCTAAAGGGTCACTTTGTGATGGCTTGATAGTTTCGCAAACTCCGAAGACACTCAATAATCATGTGGCGTCGTCTTGCTCAGGCCTTTTGAACACACTTTCTCTTGCTTCTTGCAAAGGAAACCAGTCCGAGAGTGCCTCTATGACCACTGATGATAAGGTTGGGGCAAAGAGGACTGGAACTCCGGTTTCAACTAGACAGGATGAAACCTCAATGACTATGAACAATTCCATGGCAGCAGCTGCTACTGCTACAATCACGCCAAGGGGTAACCAATGTTTCTTTCTGTCAATGACCTTTATATATCATGGCAAACTACTGGATTCAAATAGGTGATTGTGATGTTCTTGGTAACTTCTCTTCCTTGGATGCAGCTGTACCTCAGGCTCGGAAGGCCTCATTAGCTAGATTCCTGGAGAAACGGAAGGAAAGGTATATATTTTTGTGCAATGCAGAATTTTCTGACTATTTTTCTTCGAGATAAGTCTCATGGAATGGTGATAATTGGGAGATGTTCTTTATTATTCGAAGTGAAAACTTTATGTAGAAGTCACTTGATCTTCAAGTAGTGCTGCTTTCCTCTTATGGTTCTCTTGGTTGCGTGTAATTAGAAAACATGTTTAACAAAACGATGATGTAATTTTTGTTGATTATGTGTGTGAAATTGTGAGGCTTTGGAAGGGTTTTTGGAGCTTAAAATATTTCCTATTAAGGTATGAGACTTGTGAGTCCTGTGGTTTTGTATACCATTTGATAGATGATGGCATAGCCTGTAGTAAATATATTATTATCTATATTTGGAAGGGAACACCTAACATTTGAGTTCTAAACATCGCAAAATTTGAGCAAGTGGTATTTTGTACATGCTTATGGCAAAAAATTGTTTTTGGCAGGTGCCATCTCGTCCTTTGATAGCATGCCACTATAGTACTACGGTGATTTTCAATTAACCACCACACCGAAATTTGATATGTGAAAGAATTGCTAAGTTTGCAGTAGTAGCTATTGGATTCAGATATGTTAGTGGATGAACTCAATACCTTACTGATAAAAATGAATTGAAGAGTAGAAAACAAGAAGAGAGAAAAAAGAGCTTACAGTGAGAAACTCTAAGAGTTCACACTGTCAGTATTCTTTTTTAGCCTACTAGCCTTGAAAACTGTCCATATTGATTAGCAAAATTTGAGGGCTTTGGGTCTACAATAGTGACAATTGTATTTCAGACAATGCATTATATCAGTACCAACTAAAGTGCTCTAAATGGCCATTTCTCCTGTTAATTTTTCAGGGTGAGCAACACAATGCCCTATTCATTTGACAAAAAGCCCTCCGAGAAAGTTCCTGATGTTGCAGTTCCCTTTACTGATTGTTCAGTTCCGCAAGTCTCTCTCTCAAAAAACCAGGATTTTTCATGGCTCAAAGGCCAAGCAAAGAACTGTGATGATAAAGGCGAGTTCCCAAGCACCAAACTGGAGATGTAAGCTTGTTTTCATCCTCAGCAAATCATCATCTTATGCAACTGTAGCCAGATTTCATTTTTTTTGTATCTTCTAAATATCAGGCGCTGTACACACTAATATTTCATATTTTTGATGTTGATTAAGACATTATAAGCTGTTGAGTATGAGTGGTTCTGGCCTACCCTGAAAGAAGAGCACAGCTATGTATGATCAAAATCTTTTTTTTTCCCTTCTTTCTTTCCTTCTATTCCCAGTTACAGTAATGATATCTGATTATGGATCTTTCTTTTCTATATATATATAGTTTCTTCTTTGCATTTTTCATTCATGAAACTTCTTTCCATGTAGGGTTAAGGGACTGTTTGGTTAGTTGTAAAGTGAATGCAGTGTAAAAAAGAATATTTGTGGTTGTTTGGTTTGAAGACAAGTGAATGCAAGAGAACAGTTTTTTTGTTTGGCTCATAATTTTGGCACCAATTTTTTTATTACAAGAAAATTTTCATATCAATATTATATTGAGTAGAATTTTTATCATATCAGCATTATATTGAGTAGAATATGATGAAAATAGATGTATTTGATAAATAGCTCAATATGATCATTTGGATATTTTTATTCATTTATGTAATTAAATAAATTTAAATACAATCTTAAAAGCTTTTTGTGTGTATGATTTGCTTATTCATTTATATTTATAAATATACTTATTTGAATTTTAATAAAATTCTCATGATATCTTAAATGCTTATTGATGACTTGTTTTATGTTCATTTATTAATTTCTCATATATATTCAAATGTATTAAGATGAATATAAATGAAAAAAATATAAAATAAATAATTAGATAATTTTTTTTTTCATTAACAAATAATTTAAATATGCCAAATTTGATAATGTCTAGTAATTAGACAAAATATTTAAATAGTAATATAAAATATATAATAAACTATTCTAAGGCTTCATTTGAGATAATTTTTTTGTTGCTTCATAAAGCAATTTTTTATTACAAAATTTTTTTGAATTAATTTTTTTTGCATTAAAAAGTTGCTTTAAAAAATAATAAAAAATTGTCTCAAATCAAACCTCAATTAAAATTTGATTACAACTCAATTTGATGAAAAAAATAATAATAAAATAAATATGAACAAAATTGCAAAACACAAATCATATATTCAAATTCATCTTTGACTTAATAACAAAGTTAATAACTAGATAGACTCTAGTTATGCTTCTGAAATTATCTATTTTCTTTGGACTTGTTTATTATATTGCATATCTGTTATCTTGGAATGCTAGGATGTTACGTTGTCTTCTTGATTATTTTTTGTAATGATTATCACTGTATCTTTGCTATTATAATGTTTACTCTTTACTGTATTGCTCAATAAAATATTCAGTGTGGCACTCAGATTTCCGAAACAAAAAAAAAAGGACAACAACTTAGGCATTTTCTGTTTTGCAGTAATCACAATCATTCAACCGAAGTGCAAATCTTACATCATTTTCATATTTTGAACAGTACGATGTTAGGGGGTTAATATTTGATATGACCAGAAAATTCGATTCGGATTAGGATCAATCCGTTTGAGAAATGGGTTGGGTTTGAGTTCAGAATTCCTACTCATTTGTAAAACCGGGTCGGATTCGGGTTGACCAAGAAACCTGAAACTAATCCGGTTTGACCCAGGAACGTGAATTGACACTGCATCAAGTCGCCATCTGTCCGCCATTGCGTCATGTCGCGTGGACCTCACGTCAATCAACAGTCTGCAGTCCAGTAACTGTCGCATCAGTGCAACGTCTCTCGCGAGCCGCGAGAGCCTTGCATGCCCCTACGCGTCAATCCCCCGCCGGGCTCAAAGGGGTTCCGCCCTGCCCCTATGCAATGCCACACACTGCTCACATTAGAGAGAAAATGCAAAATACATTTCTATTTGACATTTAGATGGAGACTTGCAGCAACTACAAATAAGTAATAAGCGAATGACATTCGGTTGGATTGAAGATTCCCTTACAAACCGGTAACTATGCCAAACGTGAGCCTTCTTCTCAGCCACAGTTAACGTTATCTGCAGCACCGCATGTTAAAATACTGAATATATCACTGTTGCTTTCTATCTATCGATTAACTGTCATCTGACTATTTCTATTCCACTGTCAATCAAATACAGTCGTTATCCAAAACTTATAAATTATTATGAAATTTATTTACCCACCGATGCTTAGCTCGGTTGGTAGGCGTGCTCGGTTGAGATCCTCCCATCCCGAGTTCGATTCCTTCGAGCGGCAGTCGGCCCTTAAGTGAGGGCTCCAAAGCGCCGGTATGGGTTTGTGGCCTGGGTGGCCCATTAGGTCGGCCGGGTTTACGGACCGCCAAGCACGCTCGACGAAGTCGGATGTGGCAGCGGACGGTTCCTTGTCATAAATGAAATTTATTTCAGAAATAATTTTAAAAAATATTGGCTCTACTCCACAATAAAGTGTGGGGGACTACTCCAGGTGATTTTTCCGTATCTTTGCCAAATTAATGAGCTACGTGGGGTTCTATCTACAGCTGTTAATGAGGTGGACAGTTTGGCTCGACATTCCTTTGGAGACTCTTTGATTGGGACGCTATGATAGGCCTCGAAGACTCTGGAAAATGTAGCTCGTCTTGATCTGTTGGTTGCGAGTTTTGACTATCAACTAAGAAGTTTTGGATTCGGAGATTACGACTATGATGTGTGTGTTAATTTGTCTTATGCTCGTTTAAGCATTAAAAAAGTCCTCCCAAACAAAACATTAATGATCTAAACATCTCGAAAATAACTGTGGAGATAGAGCAGACAGCTTTGCAGCTTCAGCAAGATGTGATCTTTGATAATGGAAGATGCCTCTCTGTATGGTTTAGGAGATATTATCGTATGATGAGGTGTGCATGAGAGAAATTTATCATGGCATGCAGGCCTTGTGTGTGGGATTCACACGTGCGAATATTGCTGGATTGTTTAAGGAGAGCAATGCGTGGAGGCATCTTATCCTAGCTCTCTTCTTTCAGGTAATGATAACAAGCATAAATCTCTCTCTCTCTCTCTCTCTCTCTCTCTCTCTCTCTCTCTCTCTCTCTCTCTTCTTTCTCTCTCTAGAGAGAGATACAATTTTTTTATGAGAATGATGGGGATATTTATTTATTATAGTTGGCTTATTTTTTAATCACTTTGCAAATAAAAATCATTTATGAGAAACTTTCTTATAAAAAAAATAGTGCAATGTGAAATTTCATGAAATTTTAAGCATAGAAAGTAATACGCTTAAGAGTTTAGATAGTGACATAAATAATTCATTAAATTATGATGCAGGATAACTGAAATAAAATGATTTGTTTTATAAATATGAAAAGGTATTTATAAATATTTTTAATGGATTTGTTTTCAAAAGAATATTTAGATAAAATAGTATTTTTTAAATGGAGAAATTTGAGCCATTTTTTTATTTATAGAGGTATCATCGGTGAAATCTCAAGAAAAAAAAGAGACCATTGTAGAATATACAAGAAAGGTTAGTGAATTTCCATTTATAGTATATATGCTTGCGCCTTAAATTTACCTCATAAAAAATTCAATATGGGAAAGTCAATTTTTTTCAAGGAATATTATGTCGGATTTTTTTTTTGTCGAAAATGGCGGTGAATTTGCGATAGAAATTTTTGACTGTTTTTTTTTTTGTAGAGGATTTGCGGAATATTTGTCGCAAATTTATGATGAAAAATTTGCTGAAAATACATCGTAAATCTGACACAAATTGCATATCTAACTCATTGAGCGTGCATCTGTTTCATTTGTTCTGTTGTTTGAATGCTCTCCTCCGCCTCCTTGGACTTCGCCTCCACTCATTCTTGACTCCTTCACCTCCGTCAACGACGTTCCTTCCCGTCGCCTCGCCTCCTTAGATGAATTTCACATTCCCACCTTCGTTGACGTTCCTTCCTGTCCCAACCGAAGTCACACCTCTTGCCATTCATGATTGTTCTAAGGGTTTATAGTTTATGTGTTTCATTATATGTTCTTTCTTATGTGACTTCCTAATAAATTTCCTATATTAGTTTTCTACTAAATGTCCACATTTTGATATTTGTTTACTTGAAATTGAAATGAAGCATCTTAATTTACAATCCTAATGTTCTCCTACTTGGTTTAAGAACTTATTCTGTTTTAGTTTTCTTAATTTTTGATTTTTTTCATAATATTTTGACACCGGTAAAATTTCTTAAAAAATTGACACACGCCGATACAAGTGCGGTTTTTTTAATCAACAGATGTCCGTTCTACAAACCGATTTCACCATAATATTTTAAACATCCTTAGCGAATTTACGAATATTTTTTCAATAATTATTTAATTCCAAAATTTTGGCTTGAGGAGTTGGGCCGATCTCATGGAGTTCGGTTGACAGAAGGTAGAGCAATGCGTCAAACACCAATGAATATAACTTTTTGCATGACATACATCATAAAAAAGTAAGTAACATACTAATTTGATAGATGAAAATATCATTTTTCATGAACAAAACACCCAACTTGATTGAAATATTGCTTTCATATCACAATTGAGCAGTTTGAATAAACATTGTACAGCCTCCATGGAGAAATAAGAAACAACAAAAAATGAAGGACCTAATACATTCACAATGTATAGGTAATCAACTAACTGGAAGAAGGATACAAAAAAGATAAAAGAAAAGGTAATGATATGTGAAGAAGAAGATGATGATGATGATGAGTACAAATGAAAATATCTGCCTTTCTTTTCTCTGTATTTACCAGTAATATATCCTTTCTCTGGAGCCTCCAAGCTCTGATGATTTGATAGCAGATTTGAGTGGATCATGAAGACCATTGATCTGGGACAGTGAGAAAATACTTTGACATGGCTTTTCTGAACCTTTTCTTATACTGCGATGGAGATACAACAGTTGGGGATTCGTTCTTTGAGCCTCCAAGGATTCCTGTAGCCTTTACCCATGTTTCCAGGTGTTTGTCCCAAGTATATTGCCTCATGTAGTCTATGATTCCAATAACCAGATCTTTTTTCCCCTCATCAACACCAACTAGCAATGAGTAATCCATCACATCAATGGACTGCAAAGCAATGCCAAAAACCCAACGAAAACAAAAGTCAAGAGGAAAGAAGAAACAATTACATGGAAGAAAGAATCAAAGAGCATGCTTTCATAAAGTAAACGAGAAAGAAGTTAGAGGCTAATCCTATCATCATTTCTTATGGAGATTGCGTGGAGCAAAAGTTATATCGACTAGGAATATAGAAAGCAATCTTATGAATCACAAACATAAGTTTCATTTGGGACGGCTTTCTTATTGCTTTTTAAAACAACTTTATAGTATACAAATTTTAATTTTTTACTAAAAAGTTGTTTTAAGAAGCAGTAAAAAAAAACCGTCCCAAACGAAGCCATACTAAAACAGCTTTCTAGTATCTAGGTTTTTTTAGGTTGATCCTATGATCAAATCATGAAAGACGATGTTAATTTAACAATCTAGTTCAAAGACGTCCATTAGATGATGCTACTGTCATAATTTGAGCATCAAATCATGAAAAGATAAATTCTGAGATCAAGACAATTAACTCTAGATTGTATGTATCTTAATAGGGATGTAGATAGTAGTGATTCTTGGATCATACTATTAAGATCCCAAATAATTTCTGTGAAATTCATATGCATGATTGGGTTGTCAATCGAATATGATAAGATATCAAAGCCTAAAAGTTAGTCCACTATAATTTATCTTTGGATGAAAATTTTAGATTATAATAGGATAATAACAAATTCTAAATTAATTTAGATAAGTTTGTGTTTCAATTTTAAATTTTGGATTAAGGTGAAGTCTACTATAATTTATCATTTAACTTGAAAATTACTTAATTTGTTATGACAAATAAGGTTGCTTATATTGTCAATTTTGTTTATGAATTAATTTCTTTCTATAATAAAGCTAATCTAGGATTGCATAAAAGCTCTAATATACCACCAAGAATGATATCTTACGGGACATATAGAAGATCAATTGAAGAAGCGGCATAATTTTAGGCAATATAAAGAACAATACGTGCACAAGTACACCTCAGAGTTCCATCATAATGCAATTAAGTTGGAAATGAATTTTAGAGAGGTACAAGAACTAATGCAGTATACCTCATGCTATATTTTAAATTACAAATTAACTTTGTCTATTCATGATTGTTGATATCAACTAGGAAGTATGATAGAGATACTCTAAAGCGAAACAACTAAGGCATAATAGGGAAGACTCAGAGAAAATCGAGAGATGAGTCTTCTTTCTCCAAAAGAAAAAAAAAAGGAAAATAAGACCAACAATAGCCCTTTCTCTTATAAAATCAATACTTTTAGAAAGTTCTATGATCATTACCAAATATCTGTCCAAAACAAAAACAAAATACTAGAAGTAGCATCATGAAGTATTACTTGAAAAATAAAGGAAAGATGGGAAAGAAAAAGCAATTTTTGATATGGCGGGGCTTACACCTCACGCTATATATATTAAAACTTACATAAATCTTGAAGTAAATGCCCAACATTGGACTCTATAGGAGAAGAGGAAGGGAAGAGAGCAGTTCATCATAATGATGATTCAAATGATGAACCCCTTAGAGATGACAGTGCTGATCACTACAGGAAAAATGCCTATTACCGGCGGTTCTAACCGGCGGTTTAAGGACCGCCGGTGTTACCGGCGGTGTAGCCGGCGGTTTAACCGCCGGCTTTTAACGGCGGCCTAACCGATAATTTTGGTACGATAAACCGCCGGTACTAGCGGCGGTCCCTAAACCGCCGGTAAACCACCGGACTTCAATATGAACCGGCGGTTTAACGGCGGCCTGGACCGCCGTTGATAAGTTATTTTTGACCGGCGGTCCGGACCGCCGGTAAATGCCCTAATACGACCAGACCCTGCAACTCACATTTCATTCTTAATCTTTCCTTCTCTCTCGTTTCGGTCGCTCTGCCGTCGCCTCCGCTCATCCGACCGCCACCGACAAAGCTTCTCCGACCGCCGACCCAGATCCGACCGCCGACCCAGATCCGACTGCCGACGATTAAACTCCAACGTCCGACCGCCGACCCAGTCCGACCCCAAAACCGACCGCCGACTTTCAATTTTCAACCCTAGATTTCTATTTTAAGGTATTTTTTTATGGTTTTTCTTTGATTATTTGTTCTCACTAGACATTTGCAAGTGTTAGAGATATTTTGGATGATTTAGATAGTAGTAATGCAAGAGGTAATGTTGTAATCATTTGGATAGATTTAAATTTTTTTTTAGGATAGATCAAATTTGTTGATTGTGACTTTGAGTTAGAGCAAGATAGGAAGAGAGAGATTGAGGGAGAGAAAAGAGAGGGAGAGGGAGAGAGATCATATATGAGAGAGCAAGAGAGAGAGAGAGAGAGAGAGAGAGAGAGAGATAAAAGAGAGGGAGGGAGAGAGAGAGAGAACAAGAGCTAGCATTGAGATGAGGGAGAGGGAGAGGGAGAGAGAGAGAACAAGAGAGATAGATAGATAGCAAGTGTTAGAGAGAGCGAGAGATCGAGAGAGAGAGAGAGAAAAGAGAGGGAGAGGGAGAGAGAAAAGAGAGGGAGAGTGAAAAGAGAGAGAGGGAGAGAGAGAGAGAGAACAAGAGAGAGAGCGATAGATAGAGAGAAAGCAAGAGCGACTAGAAAAGTAAATCCACTCTTCTACCAAAACATCCTCATCCACTCATCCACCTAAACATCTCTGCAACACTTAACTTAGTATTATGCTTGTCATTTAATGGCCAACATTCGGCACCATAAACCATTGCATGTCTCACTATCTTATAGAATTTTCCCTTAAGTTTGAGGGGGAATTTTCTATCGCACAACAAGCCCGTACATTCCTCCATTTCAACCATCCAACTTGAATTGTGCTGATAATATCTTCATCTATTTCACCATCACTCTGAATAATAGATCCAAGATATCTAAGATGTGTACTCTTATTAATGACTTGATTGTCAAAAATTACACTCCATATATTTAGTTTTAGATACACTTAAGTGAAAACCTTTAGACTCTAGGATTGACATCCATAATTCAAGTTTACCTTCAACTCCCCTCTCTAATCTTATCAACTAGAAGAATAGCATCAACAAAAAGCATACACAAAGATACATCCTCTTGCAAATGACATTGAAAATTAATGCCCTTTGCTCTGGAGATCAATTTCACAAAGATGAGGATGTTTAGGTTGAGAGATATTATATAGCAACTTGTGAACTTGTGATTGTAACCTTATGATGAACAAACTTGTGAACTTGTGATTGTAACCTTTATGTTTGATGATTGTAATCTTGTGAACTTGAAACTTGTGATTGTATTTAGAATTTATGGTTCTGATGAATATAGCGGCGTGTTGCCCAAAATGTATTGCTTTTTCAGCAGGTTTAGACTTTAGGGTGAACCTCCCTCAAATAGAGGGAATGCTGTCAATTTTTTTTGGCAGGTGCTACAGGTTTCCGGCGGCCCACCGGTGGTTTAGCCGCCGGAAACTACGATACCGGACGGACAATACTAAACCGCCGGTAATGTCATTACACCGCCGGTACTTAACCGGTGGTTACCGACGGTCGCCGGCGGTGTTACCGTGGACGTCAGGCAGTGTACACCATCGGTAATACCGACGGCTAAAACCGCCGGGTATCGCCGGTAATTTAACCGACGGTCTACCGGCGCATGCCGGCGGTTTAGCGAACACACGACGCCCGCTTTAACCGCCGGACGACCGTCGGTAATATGACCGCCGGTTTGCCGTCGGTCAACTAACCGGCGGCGTGACGGCCGGAAAACCGCCGGTTGAAAATCCAGTTGTCACCGACGGTATAAGCTGCCGGAAAACCGCCGCATAAATAAACCGCCGGTAAAAGACCGCCGGTATTAGTTTCCTACGCCATTTTTACCGGCGGACTGTATGCCGCCGCCAAGCCGCCGGTAAATAGGAAAACCGCCGGTTTAGCCATAGTAACCGCCGGAAAAAACTGCCGGTTTTTGGCATTTTTCCTGTAGTGGATGACTTTTGAGTTCTTATGTGATATGTCATTGCAATTTATTTTTGAAAATTTGAATTATATGTTAGTGAAAAGAATACTGGGATTTGGGAAAGATAGAATTTTGAGTTGAACTATATTTCATGTTGTCGTATTATTGGGATATTTTGATTTCACTTCATATCTTATGCTTTTTATATTTTCTTTTATTCACTCATTAGTACATAAAAAATTTATCATTTTATGTTTACGCAATCTTTTGATTTTGAGGCTTACGCCTTAAAACGCCTTGAGGCTTACGCCTCGCCTCACGAATGAAAAACGCCTCAATACCCGAATACGCAATTTTAAACATTGACTGGCGGTTCAGTTCGGTTCGATGCATAAGCGGTTTTAAAACTGAATTGGACAGTTCTTGTGACCGGTTCACGATTGAACCGGTTGAACCGACCGGTCTGATCCGATTTTTAAATCATTGAGCCAAACTATTTTCAAACCAAACTGAACTTTAGTTTTTCAGTTTGGCCAATATGGTTTGCTTTTAGATTAATCAAAATATAATTAAGTAATAATTAATCTAATTATCTTGATCTTAAATAATATATATTAAGAAAATCAAGATATTTGTACAAAACTTTATAATTTTGTTATATGACATACATAATATCCTCATTATCTTTATGTCACTTGTTTATTTATATGACTTGGTTATTTAATATTTTAAAAATAAAATAAAATCAATTTTACAAAAGAAAAAAATTGAACTAATAATCAAACCCAAATAAAGTCAAAATTATGATCAATAATCAAATCAATGCTTTAGCAAACAAACTAAACTAACCAAATAAGATAGATTTAATTTAATTTTTTGGTATCCTTATGCCTCCTCAAATCCATACTTACCCATCTTCACTGCTCTTCTGCCGAAACCAGCCGCCCTCTACCCATCTTCACTGCCAATCTTCTACCCACGCAAGACTCCAGGCCGAATCCTCCACACCTCCTCTAGACCTACTCTAGCCGATTCCATCCCTGCC